ATAGAATCACCACTGTGATATGAGCAGTTAATGTAGAAAGTGCCTTGGATGACCCACTGGAGGACTGGCATTGGATAGTGATCAAGATGATGGTATAGGAAATAATTAAAGCCAGAAAACAGCTCAGAGATATCAGCCCACTGTTGGCCAGGGTCATAATTTCCATTTTGTATGTGTCCATGCAAGCCAGCTTTATCACCAGGGGAAGGTCACAAAAGAAGCTGTCTACTTCATTGGGACCACAGAATGGGAGAGTCACTGTAAAGACCAAGTGACTCACGGAATGGAGAATGCCCACCGCCCAGGAAATAGACACAAAAATTATACACAGTCTTCTGTTCATAATCATACTGTAGTGCAGTGGCTTACATATTGCTATAAACCTGTCATACCCCATGGCTACAAGTAGCATCATTTCACTCCCAACAAAACTATGAAGAAGAAATATCTGAGTCATGCAACCCCCAAAGGAGATAGTTTTATGCTCAACAAAAAAGTCCACAAGCATCTTGGGAGTGGCAAAGTTAGATTGGCAGATATCGATAAATGAAAGATTACTGAGCAAGAAGTACATAGGAGAGTTCAAATGTGAATCAGAGAAGATGATGACGATGATCATGACATTGCCTAAGACTGATGTCACATAGACTACAAAGAACAAAAAAGTCCACAAGCATCTTGGGAGTGGCAAAGTTAGATTGGCAGATATCGATAAATGAAAGATTACTGAGCAAGAAGTACATAGGAGAGTTCAAATGTGAATCAGAGAAGATGATGATGATGATCATGACATTGCTTAAGACTGATGTCACATAGACTACAAAGAAGACAGTAAAAAATAAAAGCTGAAGTCCCCAAGAACTGGAGAGTCCCAGAAGCACAAACTCAGATATCGTGGATTCATTACTGTGAGCCATGTGTCCAAGGTACAGTCACCTAAATAAAATAAGATCAGGAAAAAAGCACCATGACTGGCATTGTAGTACACCTAATTCATACACAGAAAATTATAGTGGCATATACTTGGAAAATAGTAGTAATCTCAAATAAATATAATTAGGTACTAATTATTCCATTTTTAGGAAAAGCTGTACAAATTAAGAAAAAATACATTATACATATTCATTATGAAATAAATCACCAGCATTAAACGAACATATTCTTCACTTATATGGTCATTTCTTTCACATGCGTATATGAATGTGTGTCTGCTTGTCCTGTCATTTTTATCCATGGTGTATTCATAAAGAGATTTTTATTTGAAGCCCAAGATTTAATATACAATAATAAACAAAATTTTGTTTTGTGGCCTCTTCAAAAACAGTTTGTGATTATTTGCAATTGCTCCCACTGCTGAAAGATCCTGTAGCCACTTTACTTTTAGTTTCATAGTTCTCCTTTAGAGTGTTACTTGAATGTTTCATTTGATTATTTTTAACGCTAATGAAAATATTTTGTCATATAAAGAACAATGCAAACAGTCCAGTCATCACCAATAGGCTTTCAGTGTA